AAAAACAACCTTTTTGTCGTTTTTATGAAATATATTTGAATTTGTAAAACCATCGAAAATCAATGGGAAAAATCCATGCTAATTAAGCCGTAACATTTATCCGAGTAGAGCTTTTGAAGGAGATTAAACAGAACTCCTGCCGAGTCCGAAATGTTGTAGGAAAATGCTGCCAGATAATCAGTATTACAATCGTGTCTAAGTAATCCCTACTCATTAAACAACGTTTTTCAGAATTTCAGGCAAAATTAAAAGAAATCGGTCATTCACCGTAGTCTTCAGACAATTAATAATGCCCTTGAGTGATTTGCTGAGTCGGAGAAATCTTTTAACTCTGAAGACTTATGGAAACCACAGAATCGAGCTTATGCCGTTTTGTTGCCCTCTCGCCAAGCGTTGGTCGACTGGCCATATGGTACCTGAGTTCGGCCTTACCACTGATTTTGCATGTCAGAGCTTTTGTAGGGCTGGGTTTGAATGGCGTATATATGTGATGGGTCTTCAGCAAAAATGTGTCATTGATATTTTTGGCACGAGAGTTGACCCAATAGGAACTGTAATGAAAATTAATCTTAGAAATTCGGTGTAGATATGACGTGAGATTAAACTGGGCAGTGTTGTTTCGACCCATACAAATCAATTTATGCGACCTAGTGACATGCACACATTTATGGTAGAGATAAGCATAAGCGAAACGCCATAAAATGGTCAAAACAGGTTTGTTTTTTTTAATTTTCACAGCAATCAAATTTAAATTCTAGGTTTGTAGACTCAGGCAGGTTCAACGCCAAATATATATTTGCCCGCTTCTTCGAAGAATGATGGCATCGTCCTATCTCCCCATAGATTCCTTTTTGAAAAAAACTCATTTTGATATTAATATTGTCCGACCGGTTGTGCTACACATTGTGAGGCGTTGCCTGCTGACTCGGGCTCATTGTGCCAACATTACCGTGGTCGTAAAACTCACGAAAATGGCAGACAAATCCACTATTTCTTAATACTGACTACGTCGTCTGTGGAAACGAATAAAAATTCTAATTTGAGGAAAAAATTAATAAAGGGACTTGGTCGTCGAGATCCTTGTGCAAAAAATAACATTTTTCTAATTTAGTCCGTGATGGTAGTTTGGGGGTGAAATCGGTACGTCGGATGAGTTTTACATTGAAAATAGCAGATGCACACTTGCCTAAATTTTGAAGGGCCGCATTGCCTACATATATGCCTATGCATATGTCAAGTGAGCGTTTGACCTTCACTGTGGTGTTTCTGATCTCACTCGATCCCATTCTGGTGACAATGAACACTGTGTTATAGGACACATGCCACATATAATACGTAGGCTACCCCCAAAGAGGTGTCCAAATCATTAAAATATTGATCCATGGTATGCAGCTTCATGGTTGAGTTCATTAAATCACGTGTACATTTAAATACAAAATTGAAACATGACATGCGATGGAAAGTAAACTAGAATAAATATACTCCTAACCTACTTAAAAGGTAAACCCCAAACGGGTAGGATGTAAAAGGCCATGAATCATTCAGTGTTTCGGAACGGCGCTGTCATGATTAAAATCGATTATTTGAATGTTGGGGACAGGGAAAAATGAAAACGAGCTTGTCATCTAGAGGCTTGTTCAGCATATGAGGTTCCGTTTTTGAAAATAGCACTTGTTCGTCCCATAAACAAGCATATTCCACACAGACGGACAATATACCTGCACATAAGGTCTCAAATAAAAGCATCCTTTTCTGGACACCACAGATAAGAAAAACGAAAGACATATAGACATATAACCTTCCGACAGTTTGACCATCATGACCGACTATGTCGCCGCGTGCGTCACAGCAGGCTGGGACCAGGGACGGTGACATGCACTCGAATAAGTTTATCGTGGTAGTAGAGTTGTGCAGCATCTACGCACTCTCCCCTACTTCCTAACCGGTGTGGGTTACATAATTAGGTATACTGGAGGTGAAAGACAATGCAGGTTTTTGGGCACGGCAACTGAACCCGATATAGGTGTCATTCCAGCCCGACTCTCTGTTAGGACGGCCCAGAACACGACGCACCATTCCTGTCGTCCGGGCGTCACGCACGACAAATAACCGCAAACTCGCCGGACAGCCTCGCCTAGGAAGCCCGCATGCGAGCCAGACATTAGTACGCCGCTGAGTCATGCGCGACCTCCAGGGGCCAGCAACGCACGAGGCCTGCCCATGCGGGCGCTCAGGACTGGAGCAGTAGGAACACGCGAATCAGACGAAGACTAAACCCTTAAATACGAAGCCACGGACGGAAGGACTAACAGTTGGTGTACACAGAGTGAATGACACAGTACAGTTGTTCTTTGATATCCTGTCTTTCTTCTATTCCGCACAGAACTGGCGTCATACTATTTGGGGATATAACACTCTCTGAGCACTGGTCGGCCACTCCAGACAAGCCGACGTCGAGGTCCATGTTATCCGTCAGTAAGCAACTTGCCAAGCCAGATAAGCAACAAAAGGATGACACAAGTCACTAGGCAACCATGCACACGGCCTGTATACCCAGTGGGAGCGCAAAAGCAGGTGTCAGCGCACAAGGGCAGGGCACACCGGTCTGCGAGGGTCATGGTTTGCTGAAACGTGGCATAACACACGCACACAACCCTCAAAGTCATATAACCCTCAAAAGTTTTGTAGATTCAGAAAAATGTGGTGTCTTTTATCAGCCTCATACTATGGATGTGGTAACTCCGTGCAAACCTTTAAATGCCTTGCAATTACGCAACAAATGATAATTTATGTGACAAAATTCAAAGGCCAACTTTACTCCATCTAATAAAGTTAAAATGAGCCAAACGCGTTCTTGCTCTCAAATAGCTGCCCGTGTTTTGGAAGTCTTCTGACCCCTGCTTGATCGTTGCTTCAGAATTAGGTGGAAAAGTGTATTTTTAACACGATGTAACTTCTAGTATTTACGGTTGGACCATATAGACTGCTCGGAAAACACAATATAAAGGTAACATTTAACACGATAAAAGGAATATCTACTTGCAAATAATCAGAGTTCTACAACGATGGAAATGCGTCCCCTGCCCACACATTCAGATTGCCGGTTTAGTATTCGATTCTTCGTCGTCTACTTTGCTCTCCGAAACTGTGACACTAACCTTTGTCCTTAGTAAGAAGTCTTTGCATAATTTTAATGACTATGATGTCGTGAGTTTCTCAGCCATCCTGTTCGCACTGAAGTTTACTTTCGTGCACTTACCTATCCAACCGAACAAAACATTAAAAGTTCACGCCTCCAGATAACATTACTGAGCGTGAACAATGTGTGCAATGAGTTTCAAAGGATGATTCCAGCGTAAAAAGACGAATGTGTTCTTTATGCGGAAAGGTACCGTAGGGTTTCCGATTTTCTAGGGAACGATGCCTTAACTCACATATTGCGGTTCAGCCATCTGTTGTAGAATATTTTGCAGTCTCCAGGCGTAGCGCAGTTGCATGGCCGTTGAGTAACTGCGAAATATTTTAGTTAACCTATTTTTTTTCTATTGATTTCTTGTCGTTGCTATTTGCGGATATTACACAGTAACCCTCTTTATTATAAAGAGGGAAGGATTCATCACATCTCTTTGACTGTAAATATTAATGCCCAAAAGCTGAAGTTATATAATGGTAATAACGGATTGTCGTACTCCTATAAGGTGTGCCCATGTAAATTGCTGCATTGCCTATCAACATTGGGTCATTCCGTAGATATACATGGCTTGCATAATGTGCTTAGCTCAGACAAGCATAAACATGGTCGACCTATGTATGTCAAAGTAAAATAGAACAAGCATTGAATGCTAACCTTTCTGTTTGCGCCATCTTCTGTCCAGCACCCTCGCGACACTATAATCCGACCTGAAGCGACCGCTCCAGTCCCCCTCCTGAGGTCGGTTTTGTCGGTCGATTGCCGCGACAACCGTTGACAGGCCGTCGACGCAAGGCCATCCCCGCCAGCTAAAAATGGGTCACATGCCCAGCTACAGTGAATCACGGCTGCCCTCACAATCTTTCATCACCTCACGCGCGTCCGACTCCCTGGCCTGATACCCGTGGGTTCATGCCCCCTGCCCCCCCCCCCGCCTATTCCACCCCTAATCCGTCCAATCACATGACCAACACTCAACCAGTCATCCCCTCCTACTGACACAGACAAGCATTTCCGCGTAAACAACAGAGAGAGGAATGCTTTATTTTGAAAATAACTTTCAAAACTTTCAGCAAAAACGGTTCTCCAGTACACAGTGATTACCATAGAGATTAACAGGTATTGGACAGGTGGGCATAATTATATATGAAGAAAAAAGGACTTTAAGGTGCAAGATCGAGTTTTTGTTTTTGTTTTTCAACATCTATGCAGGTGAGATACCGGGCTAGAAAGGGTAGTATGGAATTCCGATAGGCCGACGTGCGGCAAGGGATGTGGCGGAAGCATCGACGCATGGGGCGTAAGGATTTCGAAGCCATTAACTCATTATGAAGGGGATTGACGGTGTCATTCAGAATTCGGTCAGCGAATTGCTCCACCGAGTTGAAGTGTCGCTGCACGATGATAGCAACTAAAATATGATAGGAAACACCAGCAGTAGAGGCGAGCTTTCGAATGACACGTTTAAAAATAATTCGATCTTTTTTAAGTAAAGCTGGAAAAATAACTGGAGAACAATAAAGAATGAGTGGAAGAATACAGCCATCTATCAATCGCCAGATTAAGGACTGGGGTGTGTGATATGAACGTAGACGACGAATGTAATAAACAAGTTTTTGAATTTTTGTTAAAAGGGGTTCCATATGAAGAGAGAAAGAGAGATTTGAGGATAAAGTAACACCTAGGTACCGGAAAGAAGATACCTCATTGGGAAGAATATCCAAAGGTTCAGGAATGGGAGAGCGTCGCAATCGAAACACACACTGTACCGATTTCTGATTGTTGAGTAGGAGTCCATTATTCGAAGACCATGCGGAGACGTGATCTAAGCCATCCTTTAAAGACTGTAGGTGAGTCAGGTTTTTGAGTGGGTGGCCTACGACCATGTCATTGGCATACTTAACATACAGGCAATCGTTTCGCGATCTCAACTCATCAGTATGTAGGGAGAAAAGATGAGGGGATAAGATGGAACCTTGTAGAACTCCACACACCCCCCCCAAACGGACGATTAGGTCTGTCACAAGCAAGCAGCCAACTCACCTTAACCTGCCCTGTGTACAGAATAAACATGTTCTCACATCTACCTGACTTCAGACATAAGACGGAACGAAATTATTTTGTGTGGTTGCAGTTGAACTTACCTGCTTGACAGCCACAGATGCAATATGCGACCAAACTTTGCACATTACTTATTATTGAGTACGGATTTTTACGAAAGTGATTTAGTTAATTTCGGTGACCTTTAGCAGTTGCAAACAAAACGCTGTCGTTCACATACCCAACCATAGATTTCTTCGTTTGTATCTTTTAAGTCAGTTTCTTCACGCTCGTCCATCATCAGCTTCCGTGTTTTGATGTGTTTGGTTCGCTTTTCGATACCTCTGCTGCGCTGTCATACACATACATAACTGCAGGTTTATTTACTTGTACTTATTCGGTCTCAGCCACCTCAGTATACTTAAGGGAGGCATTATTGCATAGGTTTATGGATACTTTCAGTAGACGGAGAGCATCACTTTGAATGTTCCCTCATCACGTCCCGCTACTACGCGTGCGTGCTATGCAGTAGCTAGGCTAACTTATGAAATGCCAACCGAAATTCCGAAATGCGATTTCGTTTAGAAAATATTAATTAAGGAGGTTTGTAAAATAAGTCAGCCTGCATCGTAATTCTATAATATTTCAGTTACAGCAAAATGCCGGCTTCCGAGTTAAATTCCTTCCGGCTGCATGAAAAAGCTAGACCGTAGAAAATTACTACTTAAGTAGCATGAAGTTTTCTAAATGAATTTCAATGCCCCAAAAGTCCAATTATACGTAATGGAAAACATGAATAAAAATATTCATTCCTTTGATCATTCGGTAGATAACTACGTCGACTTCCAATCTGTTGCTCTAACGAGGGACATGATTCGGTTTTAAACATTTTCTCATTGTGGGACTTTTAAATAACGTGAAATGGCAAATACTAAATCGTCATGTCTCTGCATTTACCTATGTGGCTTTAAAGTTAGCAATATGGATGAAACCCACTTACACAGTTTTTCAAATGCGAATTATACCTTTACTTCGAATATAAAAATGGAAGAAGATGTAATTTCCTACCAAATGAGTAAAAGAATGAATATTCGCATGCATGTTTCCCATGAGATATAATTTGGAGTTTAGGGGAGTGGAAAATCAATGAGAAAAATTCATGCTACATAAGTAGTCATTTTTTATAAAGCATAATATGTGCATGCAGTCGGAAGGAATTTCATTCAGAAGCCGGCATTCTGGGGTAGCTGAATATTATAGAATTAATTTGCAGGCTGACTTATTTTACAACCCTACTTTCGTAACGAAAACGCATTTCGGAATTATGGCTGACATTTCATGAGTTAGTCCACTTACTGTTTCTAACCATCACTTGTTTCACACGCACTCTACTGCTTTCGTACTCAATTTCAATACCTATGGCCACGTTTGCGTCATCTTAGTGCATGTTTAGTCACTACACACCCACGCTGAATTATTTCGTCACCGGAGGTAACGAGGGGGTTTCGTCCCCAGTTGCCTTCGGACGGTATTTCGATTACTTGGTTAAGTTGTTCTTCGCATATCTTACCATTACCTTCTCCCTCTAGCAATGCATTTGTGGGTTATTCAGTTTCTTGATCCGTGTCACAGCCCCGCTTCTTCTGCCCACACTTCGCCGTATGACCAGCCTATTGAACATTCACTCCTGAAATATACTTAAACTACCGTACCACTGCTTTTTACAGTCCTCGCCATTAATCTGTCGATAATCTACATACAGCAAAAAAGCCAAATGCGCACAGCAGAACAAAGCCGCGTTGGTACATTACTTGGACCTGACGCACATTTACCACATGCGGTAGGCCTTTGCCCACCTCCCGTGGTTGCAATTGACTGCTAGCGGAAACAGACACATTTACTCCATGGCCCCTTACAACTCTCGTTTCACACATTGCGCCCTTCTAGAAAACTGGGCCACCCATTATGGTGTTCTCTTAATTATTACTACCGATCGAGTCTAGCTCTTTGAATTTAAGCGTTTGTGTAGTCCTACTGACCTCTTTCTTGTTCTTGTCTATGTACGACCTCCGTCCATCTCTTATCTAGCGGTCTATTTGAACGTTTGCACGGTCAGTTTAAAGACTTTCTTCGAACCTATGAATCCCCCTCATAAGCGCGAGCATTTGCCTTTGCTCGAACCCGACTTGACGTTCTCTGCTGCCGAGCTAGTTTGCACCATTATCCCACAGATTCCCGGCAATTCGTGGCCTCGTCGAAGCTAAACCTGACTGGATGCCGTTGATTATTTCTAAATGTTTCGCCAAGCAATAGTTAACCTCTGAGTTTGCCTCGAATTGTTCGAGCAAGCAAGCAACATGCCGAATTCAACTTGCTAACGTGTTCTTTTGCATTTACTGGTGTTAGTTGGTCACTCCAAAGGCCCTCTGGTAGGCTATCTTGGACCCTATTGAGCATGGACAGTATTTTACAATCATCCTTAGATAGCGCACTCAGTTGGCCCCAATAAACCACATGAAAATGGATCACACTAAGCCTCTTTCGCTCGCTCAAAGAAATGAGTCTTCTGCACGCAATACGGGGCCTCCACTGGTACCCTCGTCTTCATCTTAACTGGATGATATATTTGCGCGTCTCCCTACCCTCCACCTCCAGCTCCTCTACGCACAGTGGTTGTCGCGCCCGCCTTCCCTATCGCAAGCCACTCGTTCACTGTGCCAAAGACTTTATATTTAACTACGGTTTTTGCGTTTTCAAACGCCGTTTTTGTGCAGATGGGAGGATAGTAATGATATAACAAGAGTTTCGTTCCAGTGCGTTATAAAGTGCATCAATTCTGCATCGAGCCGTATGCACATGTTTTATGTGATTCTTCTTAAGTGAATGACGTATATAACCTGTAGACATCAACCGCTTACGTCCGGGAATAAGCTCAGTTATGTTAGACAGGATCATCAAATATGAACGTAGAGTAATCAGGGCTGGCTCCTTGGAAAAAAGATGACATATTTGTCGGCTTCACTCTACAAAATGATAAGCTTTGCATGACCTACATGAGTAGAAGCCCGCCTTTAGCAAAAGCCTCCTGCTTCTAATGTTGCCGAGAGCTGTAAGAGTGGTTAAAGGAAATGAGCGCGGATTATTTGTATATGGAATCAAATAAAATAATAAGTATCGCGGGTGGAGATGAAATGTCCGTTTGCAGTCTCATGTTTTCTACTATAACACACGTTCTACTTAAAAAGGATAGGAGAAATAATCAAATTGCATCGCGTTGCTACAGTAACAATCCTTTGAACAGTAGGAATGCCATTTTACGGCATGTTGATTAAAATTCTGAAATACGCTTTACTTCCAAAATACGGCCTCAGTAAGCTTGTTATATTAATAAGACATTCCAGACATGTCAAGATGTCGGCTTTAGAACAAGTGTTTTAACAACTGCGCAAACTACATTCTACAAACAATGACTGCTTAAATAGCATGGACGTTTCCTGTTGATTTTTAGTAGCCATTTGAACTCAGGCATATATTTAATTGAAAAGATGCACGAATATGTTATTTCTTCTATTCATTAGTCAGAAACCTATGTAATTTTCAATTGTTATACTTGAAGAAAAATACTATTCGGTTTAAAAACGTTTCATATCATGCGACTTCCTAAAACCGTGAAATAACTGATCGTACGCCATCGCATCCACAGGTTTATTAATGCTGCTTATACAACAAACAACAGAATCCATATACACTACAAAATTTGATGGACCCTATGTAATCTCTTTGTTGTATTGTGAAGAAATATATTAATATCCTTTGTCGAAACGCGAAAATATTGTAGCTCGGAAACCCTGAAAGCAGGTGCATCTGCAGATCGGATTCAAAATTACTTGGAAAGTTACAATTTTTTATAACCTAACGATGCGTTTTCTCCAAGGAAAACATTTGAAAAGGCGTATTCCGCTGCCCAAACAATTTAAATATAGAATACTGTTGTGCGTGCTTCACGTCAACTATATTTTAATTTATAATGTGTGACAAAAACAGTAGTAGAAATACATAATAATTAAGTAGTCCTTTTTTTGGAATGTGGTTTAGTAAGGCGGCAAATAAGACATTCATTCGATTAGGAGCACGCACACCCTGGTCGCTCAAACTACCAAACCATAAGTCCCTTTGTTGCGTTTGTAAGTGGAGATGCGAGGCAACTGTCGGCGTAGCGGGAACATATAGTCTTTTCTGCGTACTCCCTAACCACTGATGGTTTTTTAATCAATCAACCACCAACAAGCAGGGTTGTTCGTTTAATTTCCTACTCGTTGTCTTTAAAGCACTTCATCGTCTGAAATCGCCTTAAGTATCTAAGTGACTTCCCACATATACAATTTCGCATCCAGCGGGCCTTGTTAGTTGAACTCTGACACCTGACACCGCCATTAATAATGTACATTTTTCGATATGATTACATTTTAATGCTATCACCCGAAAGACCTCCTGTAATAGATTTAGGATTCCGTAACTGGTTGCAGACAAATGCTTACTTCGGGCGACTGCTCTTCAGAATGTGTCTGTTTAAAGTGGACTCTCACAAGGGTCAGTTGTTAGGTCGCTCCTTTTTATTGTCTTTGTACATTATTTTGTACAATGTAGCGCTCCTTGCAAATTGGGAACAGAGGAGAAGACATCGTAAACTCCTATATAATGCCATAGAATATAAATAAGTTGAAGACAAGGGGCGAACTCTGGTACATGAAATTCAATATTGACAAACGTATGATAATTTACATAATGTCAACAAGACAAATATGAAATGTGCCTTCGCAACAGCACATCTTGGAAAAAACAAGCAGTAAAAACCGTAAAGGCGCAAAATAGCCCTGACGTTTTTGTAAAAGATGGTCTAAATGCAACATTAAAGTGTTCCCAAGTCGCAGCTTAGGCAACGTTAAACATGAGGCCTCTACAGGAAACGTTTATCGAACTGGTTGTGAATATCTACGGTAAGACAGCAGGATTATGCAGTACAGGTTTGGCGGTCGTGGCCTACAAAGTGCATAGATATTTTTGAAGGCGTAAAACGAAATGCTACAAGGTTGGTCTCTGAACGCAAAGTTTGACGTACGAACAAAGCCTCGCCGTGTTTAACCTCCGCCCCATCTACCAGGGGGACCCTATAAAACGTTCCAGTCGCTGAGGGGAATCGATCTTAATATGGACTGTGAAAATGCTTTCGAATTAGCACCGTGTATTTAACAGGCGTCTAAATATTCAACCAGGACACCCCAAACCCTTTCAAATTAGTCACTAATATGAAAGTTGATATGCTACTGTTGGGATTTCAATAGGCCATTTTGTTTACAGTATTTTACCACCTCTGAACTAATTGCTTGCCAATGCAGTTAATGCGCTATTCGCTGTTATTTAACCAGCCTTTTAACTGTCCGGCCTCACTATCAGTCTTCTGAATTTCGCATGCGGTAACTATTTGACAATCCTTCCAACTTAGCTGCTCTTTACACAGTCTTGCACTTTTTCAGTTAAGTCAAAGTGCTTCTTCCATTTACTTCGAAATCGTTGATACGGGTTCACCTGATTTGTTGTTGATTCTTCGTTCACATAGTAAGGCAACAGGCGAAAATTGAAGAGTTATCGTATAATGTGCCTTTATTCCGGAGCGCGGACTGTATTCATTCAGTTAACATTTGTTAAGTTGGTCACGTCACAAGCAGGTGAAGTTAGGATAATTAGAGTAATTTGAAATGCGTCTCCTTTCAAATTTGTTATGCACAATCGCCCATTAATAAATTTTTTGAACAAGTTAATATGTTTGTTGTGTCTCATCAGAACCTGTACAGCAGTTGACAATTGCATGAGGTGTTAACCGAAAATTCTACGGTGTGTTTTTAACTAGTGCCGCGCGGTTTGAATTTTGAGTTGCAAGACGGAAGTTTTTAAATCGAGTCTCTTCGCTGAAAACGACTGTCCTTCACCAAAACGTGGATTATAAAACGCCTTTCTGACAACGATCCTCCAGCTATCGCCATCGATACTCCTATCGTTCGATCAGAACAAACTTCAGCAAAAACGGTCTATCTGTCGGAAATCTCGGCTTGTCTACAGGGCCTACCCATCCAATACACCGTCTCAAATTGCTCACAGAAGTTAGGAGCAACATCTACGATAAGGCTGAGTCGATATTTCTACACTGCTTGCTGTGCTGCTTAAATTCGGACAACTCGAGTTGTCTCACTTTACCATANCAACGCTTACTGACATGCACATATGCAAATTTTGTCCCCGGACATATTATTTATTTCGCTGCACTCGAAACGACAGCTCTACAACTGCTCGTACCACTAAAATTCGAGACAGTTTGTTTGTCTGTACAGACCTGACGCTTTTCCGATTATTTGTTACTTTATGATACCTTTTCGAGTTTTTGAGATTTTGCAGTTGCTTGTAAACAAATAGGGAGTTCAAAGGTGAAGACCTACATTTCCCTCAATAAACTGAACTGAACTGAACTGAACATAAGTATGTCTGTGGTATCACTCATCGCGCGACATATCGCTATGATATTTAGGACTTGCCAGGATGTTGAATTTGTGATTGTACCTCTTTGTCATCCTCCGATAAAAACCGCAATGATTAAAAAGCGCCCACTTAATCAGTATACGTCTTCTTGTATTGGTTTGCAACGGTCTTAAAAGTCCAAATATATTTTATAGAAACCATGAAAAGATATACGCTTTTTTACCTCTATTTCTGAAAATTGCACGTTATTTGTATTTTGTATACAAAGACAAGGCGCACTTAGGTTTTCAAAAGTTTGAACCATACCAACCAGCCATTGCATTGGCGTTTAACGGTTTCACTCTACAAGGTGCATATTTTTGCATGCAGAAAATCATATATTCCTCTCACCTGTGAGAAATTGATATGAAGACTTCATGGAATTTTTCAGTGGATATGAAGTATGCAGCATAAATTATGAGGAACATTAATATACGGAAAGGTATAATGTCGTATGAGTGAACATCGCACAGTCTTAAAAAATCTCACAATTAGAAACCCTTTAAATCCGAAAGATACTCTTTCTTTGAGCATAAAATAGAGAAAAACGTGATTCGCTATAAAATAAGTAAAAAAAGCATGTTTCTGTAAAATATTTTTGAATTTTTGAATATGTAGGAAATAAATTTGGAAAATGTATGCTTATCAAGTAGTCGTTTTTTCGAGTGTGGTTTTAACGGATGCGCCAAAAGGGGTAGGTTCTAAAACCAAAATCCTGACGAATTCGGAATATAATGGCAGTATGCCGCGTAGTACAAAATCATATGAGTAATGCTCCCCAGCCAAAAACGTATTTCAGAATTTCTGTCAACATTTCATGCGATAGGTCACTTCCTCTGTAAAATCCCGAGTTCTAAAAAAAGCAGAAGGCACAAGAATGAGGAGTTCATTGCATACAGAACCCCACCTTGTCCTTTTGGACGGCAGTGGCCACTGGAATGGCCAGAGCTAGCGCTGATCGAGTTCAATCCTGCCTGATAATCCTTGAGACAGTGTTTCGTGAGCCAAGCTGAAGTGGTCTCCAATCATTGTGTGTGCTCGTTGCATTTACTGATGGGTGATGCTCAAGTGGCTTATATTGCATTCACAGTAGGGGCCGCGTTTTCGAGTGGCGGATGGTCAGCTGCGACGCTGTGCACGCACGTGCGTTCGAGTTGAAATCGTTCGAGTGGCTGCGGATCAGTGCACCAGAACTCGCTCTTGGAGAAAGGATCGACATTAGCACATTTAAAAGGGGCAAAGGTAGACTGTCCATCGAATTGCAGCCTGTGTGGGATAGCCACAATAGGATATGCCAGTAACGTTTAGCAGCATTTACTTCGACTACACAAAGTGTTTACTTGAGGAGACTATGGAATATTCCTCGGTAATACAGATGGACATAATTTGATCGCCTCAAATGCCGCCAGACAGATATGACTAGAATACCACACTGAAATCTAATTCGAGTTAATATGCCCTTACATTCAACCAAAGTGCTAAATGCAGATTTGGCAAAACGACGCCCTTTATTTCACAAAAGTCATTCGTAGGTTTGCAATTCAGTCAGAGGTGCATGTTTTTACCAGTGGAATGTTTCGGATAAACTGATACAAACTAGCGTTTGAAATACTGCTACTAATTATACCATGCATTTCCCTTAGGCCTAACTGTCGGAGACCTAGATGCCGCCGGATGACACTAGTTGGTATTATGTACACACTTTCTTTCGCCGTTTGTTAAAACTTTATTTTAGGCGCATTAACTAAATTATTTGCCTCTGTTTAGTCCGGTTGTGTACGTTTTCAAAAATATACACTAGTCGGAATTCAGTGCACTTCTGAAGTCGGTCGATTCGTGATTTTAACCCTAGTGCATAAGGAAATTTATTATTGACTGGGTTTCAACTTACTTCGCCCCCAGAGTAAATGTTTTTTTTATTAAATTTATTGCAGAGACAGTTACGAAAAAAGACATGTGATGTTATGCTTCCTGCGATTAAAACCAATAGGATGTCGGTCGAGCCTCTCAGGCAATTTAAACTTCCAAAATATATCTGTCGATTGCATGAGAAAATAGCACATCAGCGAAGGCGAACATGATGGCACCTTTTCAAGTTTTCGCCTTAGTTTCAACATTACTGGATTTGGGGTTTGTCAGCACTTTTCTGTTTCCTATTATAAGCTTGGTTTTCTAATTCAGTAAGCTGTAGTGAAAATGAACTCTTGTCTATTCGGTTATGTCATGGACAGCGGTGTTGTTTTATGCGTACTCTCTTCAAATTAGAACCGAATTGTCAAAGGACAACGTTCCATTTAGTCATGAAGACTTTAAAATAACCTCAGTATCCACTTTTTCTAGTAGTCTCCCTGCGCAGGACTATCTACCAGCCTAAAACATTGTAGGCTGCAGTCAAACGGCACACGGAGTATTGATTACTCGTTTAGGTTCGAAGCATTTTAATTCATGTGTTTATGTCTTAATGTTCTCAGAAACCCTTCATGAAGTCAGTAGGGCTTAACATGGTTGTTCTCTTTGGGCCGAAGTCGAAATATTTCGGGTGGGCAAGAGAAATCCCAATCGCTTGTCATGATTTCAAATCTTGCCGGGGAATTTAAACCGTTGAAAGAGGTTTTGGCTAAGTAGTGCGAACACTTATGAGTATTTTAACTGAATAGATAAATCGAGTCATAGAGTGCACATTTCGATATCATTAGTCACTACGTAACACCGTTCTTAAGCCAACAAATAAACAACTTATTAAGCTTATGTTTCTTTGGACGATCGGATTAAGCAGGTAACCCCTACGCGTTCGCTGATTATGAGTTACAAACGGACATTCAACGACTGGAAAAACGCGTTTTGTGCTCCTTTTAACACATATAACATGTGTTTTGCCCTTTCTCTAGTTAACTGGTTTACAGGACAAATATACTAATTCAAATAAATATATGAGATATCCGTCAATGTTAACTAAGTCAAACAAAACGCCTTTCTAAAAAAATACTATAGCAAATGTGTTAAACAAAAATAACCTTTATTTAAAATATGAAGTTATTTTCAGGTTTGGACAAAAGTTGTGTTCCTGGAGTAATCGTTTGTTACCACACGGAGCAACCGGGAACTTCACTGTGCAGGTGCCCATATATTACATTTATCGGGTGAGTTCCGACATACGAAAAGGCCCCGTTCAGACCACAAAACATGGCTTTTATATGACACCACTTAATGTTGAAAAACATGAAAATGATATGCTGCACACTTTTCTAGAATGGATATCTTAACGAGGAACCATTCTCGACTTATTTATGGGCGAGGGGTTGGTGTTCGTACAAGCGAGGATACTTTCCTTGCTCCTACGAGAAAAGTGAGGTCTTTATGAACGTGTCTGAACCGTTTAGTCTGCTTTTGATCTTTATTTAGTTAACAACTGTTTACATTCGTAAAAGCGGTTTAAAGCGTAGTAATTTAATATAATTAAATGCCAAAATACGCTCAGATTATAAATTGCTTTCATCACCGACCTCGGTTGCCTGTTGCATTTAGAACATCACCAAAATTTTTAATGAATTAATTCATAAATACCGTCAAAAATCATGAGATTTTCTAAAAAAACTGATACATATCTCTTCATTGGCTTCTAAAGAGCACGATGTCGACGTAACTCGTCTTACGCTTCCAAGCATCCAAGAGCTCTCATACGTTATGCTAAAGGATTGGTACCCAATAACTCTTCACAGACCGGAAGACAAAACCGTCCGTACGTTTATCTGTATCAGTCCTTTACAAAATGACTGGATGCACGTCCGATGTTTTCATCTCATTTGAAAACAGTCACTAAATGTACGGTGTACCATCTACTTCTATCGCTGCCTTCAACTTTAGCTGGCTTTTACGTGGATAAGGACACACAGCTGGACGTCTGCCCTCAATACAGCACCGTCAACTTGCGATGGTACTTCAATGGCAATGAGGCCGACTTACAGAATGTACGTTATGGAAGTCTGTCGTTCGTGATTGTAACACCCAGCAGAATGAGCGCGTGTTGTAAAATGCTGTGTTCCTTTCAACAGGTTAGCTGTTATCAGTTGGGGATACGTCATTGCAGTGGACTGCAACCGTTCGAAAAGCAAGAGCATGGAAAATGCCGTAAATGTCATGCTATTTTTGAAATTTCATCACGTCGAGTATATTGTGCATGCCTCTTAGTGACTGAAATGTGAATCCACAACATAGGAAATAGCATTGACAATAGATGCGAAAATTATTATGAACTTCATCTACAAAGACGGAATATTTTATCATATTGTGCAATATATTTTGGCGAGACAGTGATATACGTAATGGTTTGCGCTTATTTGTGATAAACAACGACAAACCCATCGAAATGCATTCTTTAAAATTAGCCTTAGTCCATAAAATACTGCATGAGGATGAAGATTCGATTCAAGTAGACAGATCCATCGATTTACTTTTTTCGTTTTATTGCCATATTTGTGCAAACCTTTAGGATATAGGAATGTGAAAGGCAAAATAAGTATCGGATTTATGTTTGCCAAACCACCCACACGCCTCGGATTCTATTACTGCTATTTGGATAGTGAGAAGACAAAGGCCCTGACTTATATCGTAGATTGGAAAGGTTAGTTTTCACGTCAAGTAACAGCCTTGCTATGCAACAAACATTTTTACATTTCTAACGGTTTTCTGAAAGAACGCTGGCAGCAAATGTCATTGAGCTTTATTACTGATTGTAGATTTAAAAACAAAAACCGTCCTTTGTTCTTGTCATGTTTAGTCATGATCTGAATGATTACTTATGGCTATATAGCAGTAGGCTCACAGAAGTGCCAGAATCCACGCAGAAAATCGGTGAGTAGTACAGACGCTGGTGTCGATTCATCAGGCCTGATGGGTTGCACTTCATGACTCGCAAAACAATGGAACTGCGCTGGATAAATACTACTTGGCTTTAAATCGCGCGTGCACCTTCGGCAAAAACCAGCCATATATCCGCAATGGCGAGCTTGACTGTCCTGCCCTGACCATATTACAACGAACTACCGCTAGTATTATTTCGAAGAACATCGAATGATCTTTCATGACCGTATGGATAAAAATATTTGTAAAATTCGCTTAAAGCGATGAATGACTGACAAGCTTACGCAGAGAACCCCTCGGAAACTATTGATCACACACAACCGTGATTTTATCACTCCAGTTTTACGTCACACTCTCTGATCTTATGGTTAGTAACCCTCAGATCGGAAAACGTGATTTGATTTTCTGCAAGAGCATACCGGCGAATGAAAGTACTGTTCTAAACCAAATAACTTACACAGAAACATCAAAGCTGTTTCACAGTTTATGGTCTTTATTGGTTATTTCAAATGTTCTAACCGCAGACAAGGGAAATGCTAGTGGTAATAGAAAAGTAGTCTTTGAATAATTGTCCTTATGTTAGTCCAGCTGCTGACTTTGGTACACAGTTAAGGAACCTTGTTGACACCGGTAATTTTTTGCAAATTCTTACAGATGTCACGAAAACCAGGGACGAGCCCATTGGGTCAGACTTGGCTGAGCGTCGGAGCATTCGAGAATCAACTTCCGGCGCAAAACTAGTATTGGGTGAGTAAGTAACACCATTGTCTTGCATTTCGCCTAACGTTTATTTATTAGCTGATTCAGAGGGATATTTGACTGAGGGAAAGTTGATGCTAGAAGAGTGGCACAAACTACAAAACGAAGTTTTGAATTTAAGGGTTTAGGTCCGCAGTGCGTGTCAATGATTTGGACAAGGACAGCCTTGCACGCTCGTAGTTAATAAATCTCAAGTCTCAGACAAATGTGTGTTCATGATTTGCGACATTCATTTTTTGCGTCTTTCTTCACTTTTCAGGTGACACCGCGTTGCTGTTGTGGTCTGTGATTTTGCCGATATATCTTGGGACTCTGCAGACAAGCCAAGGGGCACAAACACTTCCTAAATGATTGCGGATTGCTAAGGCCAGCGAAAATGGCAACACAATGCAACTTTTCATTACATAAACCCTCTTGCATGCAAAAGTTACTCTTCCATAGTAGTGCTTAAAAGACAAACTCCTCTACGCCAAAATGGGCAAGATAACCTTCGTAATTTTATGCTGAGCATTAGTGCAAGCCTACGGCCAACGACAGCTGAGCAAATAAAAACGAGCCAAATGTTGATTCTGCTAAATGTATAGCACAGAGGTCATTGTGTCAGTCAGGTTGGTTTGCAATCAGTTCGACCGTCGTAACCGAAGATTGAACGGTGTGTTCCAAAAAATGGTGGGCAAAGGACGGTTATGGGCGCCTGAATGAGTGTAAGGTGACAACAGACTTGCGCAGCATCTACTTCATCCCCCTCCTCCCTCAACCACCTGGGCCCGGCCAAAAGACCGAATGTTAAAGTGTTAAAGTGGCGCGCGTGTGTAAGTGCTGTCGAGTGGTCCTAGGTCAACGCGTGTAGGACCGCTCTCTGCAAATGATGCATGACTTTGAAGTACGGAGGCCTTGGACAGGGGTGTCATCCACCGCAATAAGGGCCGTCGGCACCAATGCAACCAGACGCCAATGTGTAGCATTTATGATATAATTCTTGTACTCTACGCAACCCGGTAAACGCGTACCGTCATTTGCTAAGGCAGCGTAAGAAAACGCATCACAAGTTTTATCAAAAAATACTGGGATTAGATTTTTCTCATGATTTCTCAGATGAACATTGGAAGAGCATAGCAGGACTAGGAGAATCTTGTTTACAAGGAAGATCTGCAGAATTTCGATCGACTGCATAAAAGGGCAAAGAAAGAGCTGAACATACAGTCCGTTAAAATCCTAAACGCACGTAATATGCGTCATTAGGGCTTATTAGCTCTCCTGCAAAGAAACTCGATATTATGCTACCTTCCTACACTTTAGACAGGACATTATAAGCAACTTTTACAAGGTGAATGAATGCAAATGTCTTAAGTGATTTGAAGTGCTTCCTCTAAAACTGTCATAAAGTTTAGATTAAGGAAATCCCTTACAGCAACGAAAGGCCATTTATTGAGTATCCAGTGATGCAAGCAAGATGTCGAAGACTGAATCAGGTTTGGCACTACACTGCGCTTTTTTGTGTGGGCAAATTTATGACATAAGATAGCTACAATTGTCAGCAAAATTAGTGCGGCCAAGGTCATAATACGATGAAAATGTGCAATTGTATTTTCTTACTGATTGTCTTAGACCAGAAAGTGACGTGTTGCCATTGGTTCGCGGGGCCCACACAATAAACTAACCCACCAACTTATGAAAAGTGGTCAAACATATCTATCGTACGCTGTGATAATTGATGCGACAGTATGTCGAAAGGCCAAACGGTGGAGGACGAAAATTCCCCTATGGCATGCACAACCGTTTAGTCACGTTCGGAATTACGGCACCGAGAGTTTAGAAGTTTGCTGTGTCTACCACTAGCATTACTATTCGTGCCGACTTAGAGAGTCCATACGCAGAAATAAGCATTTACTCGCCCCCTACCTTATAACTAGAAATCAAATGGTCTCTGATTTTAACACTTCATTATTATCCTTAAATAGAAATGGTGCAAGCTGGACTTCTCATAAAAATGTTAGGAGCAAAGCTTACAATACGTAGTTATCATAAAATAATCGAAAAATTGTAGGGATGCGGCATATCACTCAGTGAGTATCCCTCTCACAATCTATCTCGAAAAAGGAAACAAGGCTCTACTAGCCAGTTTCGGAGGAGCCACTGGATTTTTTTGTGTGTTTCGAAGGCAAACATTTGGGAACGTCGGAAAAATGTTAGATAAAAAATAAGAAACACAGTGCTAAGAAATATTTTCCTAGGAGTGTGGTCAGATTTCTATGAGTCACTTGCGTGGCGTATGCGCGTCATTTTCACGCAAAACTCGAAACCAGGAAATATTCTTCGGACTTCGCTTAACAGGAAAGGAGCTATTAGCTGCCTGGTAGAGGCTGAGAAAAGTTAGCAATGTCAAAAAAAAATCTGAATTAAATTTAACTGGTATTAAAACAAGCAGAGACAGCAGAATCTATTGGAACCAATACATTTGGCGACGGCCTATCAACTGCAGCCTGTCATTGCATAATACTGATTACAAATGGCAAAGATACAGAGGTCTGAACTTTCACAAAGAAAATCAATATTAAACTGCAAGTTCATCGTATACTGCACGCAGACTAATCAATAAAATGGTAACTTAAAAACGCAACCTAGGAAGGAAGACAGGCAAGTTAACACGCCGAGGGATTGCGCAAATCAAAAGGGTTCAGATTTACCAGGCTAAGCTAAGGCTGCTCACGTGTCTAACAGTTTACATAGGTCGGGTTTCTCCCGTCATATGCAGGCTGCCTCCAAGTAGCACAGTAATCGAGTTGTTCGTGCTCGAACTAATACTCGAAAAGATGTTTTGGGGTCAGGCAAATGACCGCTAGCAAGGAGGTGCTTTGTAATTGAAGACCTTGAAACATTATTCTTCTGATAGATGTATTGGTTCAAACATATTCCGCTGTCTGTGCTTGCTTTAAATGCATTCCGGGGATATACTGCTTCAGATTCTACTGGTTCGCTCTTTAGATGGCAACCATGGACACTCAAACCTGTTGGTCGCGGGCATTTACATGGTCGATTGATGGTTAAGCAGAAAACTTCAGCAGAATCGTAGACCCCCAACTTGTTACTAAAATTATTTTATCGACGTTCAGCGGGTGTTAGATTTTGATGGAATCTACTGGGGCACTTCTTTGCATGAATGGCGCACAAAGTGTGAAATCGATTACACTTTCTGCATGGCATCCAAAAGGATCGCAGCTGAAACATTGTGCAATTTCCGAAAATAGCATGGTGCCAGGAGAGCAGACAAAAGCGGAAATTCAAAAAATGTTTTCTTAGACTGCAAGAAGGAACTCGGCTTAATACCGGAGATTACAAAAAACCACCCGTAGTGCGCATGTGCATTTGCGTACAAGCGGTGATTTTCGTAAACAAAAAAACGTCTGCTTCTTGCAAAGTATATTGACAATTTTCCGCAGTACTACGTACTGTCACACAAAGCTATTCCGAATAGGCATGCTATCTGGCATATAGAGTTTTCCTTTAGTCGGCGATGACGGAGCGCAAAATATGACGAAATAGATATCTACGTAAACGGTAACATGACGCAGCTACACGCTATCAGCTCTTTCGTCGTTTATTCAGATATAAAGAGAAAAAAAATTTCTGAAATTTGAAAGGTTATGATGTACAGTGAGTGACTGATCTCATGAAATTTTGGCCCAAAATCCGAAAGGCGTTTTCAGTTAGTAAGTATTACTTAGGTGGAGTTGCAATATGTATCATCATACGACGTAACCCTATAATATTTCCGACTTGCCAGGATGTCGGCTTTTGAATGCGCTCATATCCAGTTTCTTGCAGAAACCACACTCGGCAAAAAATGACTAAATAAGTAGCATGCGTTTTTCAGATTGATAATTGGTGGTTTTATAAATTCAAATACATTTTATAGAAATCATACATAAAATATGCTTTCTTTTACTTGTTTTGTAGAAAATTACATTCCCTACACATGTTATGCTTGAAGAAGCGATCTATTTTACTTCATAAAAAGTTTCTATTTATGAGCTTTTCAAGACCGTGCAATGTCCATGAATACAGCATCGCACATATCCGCCTACCAATGCTCCTCACGAAATGAACAACGTAATCCTCATCCACGGCAACATTTCACGAACAATATGTGATATCTTCTTAAAAGCGTGGATGAATGTATGGTTTTCCTTGCGCGGAAGGTATAAACCTTGTAGACTTAAATCGCTCAACGCTAGTGCAACGGCGGATCAAGCTCGAAACAATTCAGGACTTTGGAAACGTTTTCAAAACCCAAATATACAGTTTCTTCGGGTAAAAGTGTGAATACAATGGAATTGTCTACCAAATGAGTAAAAGAAAGCACACTTTTACGCATGTTTTCTATAAGTAATATTTGAATTTATAACACCATCGAAAATAAATGTAAAAAGACACGTGCGACTTAAGTGGTAATTTTTTACGGAGTCTGGTATCTGAAGGAGGTCACGGACAAGTGCATTCAAAAGCACACATCCTGGCGAATACAGAATATTATAGGATTATGCTGCATGACAATCAGTATTGCAACCTCACCTACGTAAGCCTTTCTAGGCTAAAACGCATTTCGGAATTTCGGCTAGCATTTCATGAGATCGGTCACGCACTGTACAGTTAGTATCCTTCCTTTTTGAAATGATTAGAAGCATGTACGCTGGCCAAGTAATTGCGCAGAAGCAGTCTCGTTGTCGATGATGGAGGATGGATTGGGTAGGAATATGGATTTCCGACATCCTTCATTGCGCGGTCTGGCGCCCTTGTCCAAGGACTCTCCCGCCCAAGGTCATCCACTCTTTGCTGTGAGCGGCTGAAAACGCGTTGACCTGCGGTCAATCGAACGGCCTCACTTGGCACACGCGTGCGGCCACACAATCGCAGCTGTTTATGCGCCACTTGAGCATACCACCCCTCGGCGAACGCAACCCACACCAGTTAGACAACACGTGAGCTTTCACCACAAACGCATTTAAACATCTTCCACCACTTGCCTCATTCAATCTCCTCAGGCACGACCTTAAACTGCCCAACACATATCCTGGTCTCGCCGGCGGTCAATGTCGCCTGATAGAGCATTACAGAGTTTTTTACGCAGTAAATCACTCGTGCTTGGGACTTCTGTTTTCTCTTGACAGCTCCCTATTTGACCTGCTGTCTGCAGTGCCTGAGTGCTCTAGCCGCCCAGGCGCTAAAAATGGTGACCCCGATGTGATGCGAACACGCGAAACCCAGAAGTAGCCGAGCATGATTGCCATTGAACATGTGCTAGACAGTTTTTACTTGTACGCATTGTGCACATGGATTGAAAAATGAGGATG